ACAGTTTTTCGGCAGAGCTAATTTTGTCTCAGTGCAGTTTTTCGACCAAAAATATTCCTTTAAGATTGTCATCCACTAAATACCCTCACATACTGAGAAAAAATTAGTTCTGCCAAAAAATTATGTTCCCTCAAGAGATTTTTGTCGTCTTGAATCAATTTACTTGTGGAGAAAAAAGAAAGTTCCCACCAAAAGATGATAATTTTCGTAGTAGTAATTGTTCTCGTGAGACATTTATATGTCTTTCGGGTAAATACATTCGTTCTACAGAGAATTATATGAGGCTCCGTTTTTATCAAGTGAATGTTATTGAGTAGTGCATATCTTTGTCCAATAAACACTTATAATTTCCATGGAACAAATGATAATTTCAAGAGGAAACTACAATTTTCTTGCCGAAAACTGTGTTATTGGCAAAAATGAATAATTTCGAGGGGACAATTGTTTTTTTGGGAAAAAAATATTCTTTGCTCGTCAATGTATTCTTTCTATGGTATAAATCTATGGAGTTTTCTCAGATTAAATGATTGTTGTACAATAGATTATATTTTTTCCTGCCAATAGCTCGAATTTAGAGATATTTCTCATGATCACGACAAAAATTTAATTTTTGTGAAAGATATTAAATTTCTTTCTATCAAGTTGGTTAAGTTACCGCGAGTAATTCTGTTCCACTCCATGAAATATTCTCATATGGAACATACAGTTTTTCGGCAGAGCTAATTTCATTTTTTCTCTCCGTATAGTACCAAATTCAACAGATTTTTTCGATTGAATAGTTTTTATCGGGCATTTTCTATTAAAAAATGCGCAGTAAAGCTGCACAATTATTCAACAGAAATTCCATAGATTTTTTTATCGAATTCACCAGCGAAAAAAATTACAGCCCTTACCAAAAATGGAGTGCAAAAACTCGACCAATTCATGTGCAGGAATTCCCACCTAAAATGTCTCAATCGAAAAAATTGCACAGAGATATAAAATTCTACTGCTGTTTTCCACAGAATAATTCCTACCACAATTTTTCTCTTAAAAAACGCCCAGTAAAGCTGCGGAATTCCCTAAAAATTCCCCAGAAATTTCCATCAAATTCGGCCCCTCCTCCGAAAGTTCTTCGTGCGTGGTCTCCCCCATGCGACCGCTTCCCCCAAAAAAAAATTCCGGCCCTCAACCATTGACCCAACGCGCCCCTCCCCCTCCCATTAACACCCTCTCCTCAATTAACCCCTCTATTTTTACCAGGCAAACGACCGTCACCCCTCTCCCTCAATCGAACCGTTAAAAATTACTAAATCACTATAAACTAACCTCCAACCCCCACCCCTGGCGTTCTCATCGCGCCAGTTGATGTCTAATCGAACGTGTCCGAGGCCGGCCTGTGCTGTGTCGTGCCTCAGCAACCCCCATTAAAAAAAAACCCGTCAACAAAAAGGAAGAAAAGAGACTGAAAAAAGCCAGAGAAGATGGAACAACCTGTCACTCCGAACAATGGCGCTCGCGCTGATTGAAGGGCCGGCCGCCACGTGGCGCTGGATTCTCCCAGCGCTTTTTTTTTCGCACACCGACTCGCGTATTTCTCTGGGTGTGGTCTACCCCCGGCTCCATACCCACTGCTTCCTACCCCCCCCCCTTTCGCACTCCACCTTCCCCCGCCCACACCCCCACCCGCTCCAGGCCACTTCACGCTTTTCTCCATGAGCACTTGTCCGTAAATCCGCGTGGCGTCGCCACTCTATAGCGAAAGCTATAGGTATTCTCACCGAAAAGCTCACAATTCTCACTGGAGTGGGGGAGAAAGTCGCTCGGAACTCCGCAGTCACGAGTGGGGGGTCGTGCTTTCCTCATCGATTTCATTTTCACCGCGGAAAAAAAGGGATAAAGAATTGAGTTTTGTTAGCAACACGAGCGCCTCACCCAGTGGCTGGAGCATTCACTTCCGCGTTATTCAGAATGAATAGGACTTTGTACTCCTGAAGAACGAAAAAGCTCAATTTTTTTGAACTGATATTTTGCGAGTGGACAACTGTTTTCGGAGAAATTGTCATGTGTGACATGTCATCGCGGCCGATTGGATACCGGCGTGCGGGCACAAGCGATTTAATGAGCATCTGAAGTGAAGTTGAATCGTGAATTTCTCGGGGTGGAGGTCATACCCAAGGGCGGAATATCGCTGCGGGAATTGTCAGAGGTTATGAGGAAGTGAAAATGATGTCGTGACGACACGAGTCAGTGATAACGTGAGTTTAATAATTTCGTGAGGTCATTAATGGGGGATTGGGGGAGTTCGATGGTTCGATGACTGATGGAAATTGATTTGTAGGCACCGGGTTTGTTTCCAGGGTGGGGGGAGAACTGGCTTTTCCTGATTTATGTGGCTAACGCGCATGCGCACAACCCCGAGCATTAATTTCGATTAATTTTTCGGGTGGGAAAATTTCACGTCTTTTTAACTTCCCGTTTTCTGTTATTTTTCATGAGTGAGATAAAAAATTGGGCTGAATTGTTGTTTTTGAAAAAATTTGAAGAGTTGATATTGATTTTGTTGGTCGATTTTCATTCCTGAGAATTAGTCAAGATGATTGAATGGTAATTCCCGGAACATTTGATCATTAGTTTTCTCGAGGAATTAATGAAGAACAGTTGAAACGCAAAAGGAGAGTGAGTGGGCGTGGACCCTTGGCAAGGGTTCCGACCGGGTCATGGACATAGGCTTGAATCGCCATATAATTCGAACGAATCAACAGGTACCGAATGAAAAGTGAGATAATAGATTGCAGCTGATGGCCAAGTTCCAAAAAAATTTTATCCCCCTAATTTCTTATGAGACCTAATCGTTCATTTCACCGGTCAACACTGCCGTAATTGCTAGAAAAACGAGAGACGTAGACGAAAATTTTTCAGCCCGTGAATTTCTCATGATTTGACCGGTCATATGACGGTCATGTGACCGTTATTGACCGTGACATGAGACATTTATGATGGCTGTCACAGTTCCCCCTGCCCCGCCCCTTCTCTGTGACTGTCACAATTTTCTAAGAGAAATGACAGTCATTTTTCATCTATGAAGATGGTACTTTATATTTTCTTTATTAATTTTTGTTTAAATTCATTTCGTATTAGCCTACTGGGCATTGTGAAACGAAAATAGAGAACATTTTTCATCTACTAACGCCATTTTGTTGGACGCTTTTGCCTATCAGACTCGATATTCCGTTTTTCAATTAATTTTTCATAATCATTATCATTGCAAAAAGCAATACGACTGATGATCATCATATGTCCCAATTTATTAATTGTTGAATTTTCACACTACAATAAATGATTTGCTTATGTTTGGATTCCTATGCTCACTGAATAAGATCTTAATCATAATTACAATTGAATTCCTTCTAGAACCCACTTTAAAGTGTGAATTTCTGGAATTCAATGTTTGTTGAGTCTCAGGTAAAAGTGTGTGCCCGCACTGTTATCAATTTTTAGTTAGTTCATACGGTAATTCAATTAATCTGTTGTTCATCTCATCAATATAATTCGATGCTTAGAATATTGTCATCTCGTGTTTTCAGCACCAAATTAAAAATTAAAACTATATTCGGAATATTGAGTCTGCTTCTTTTTATTCATATCAGAATTTTTGTATTTGGATATTAATATCATTTCTTCAAAGTGAAAAAATCGATCATCATTTTCACTATATTGCATTCAGATTCTCCTATCCTTAACGTAAAAAATGGGAGATAATCTCATAATTCTAATCAACTTTGTTCGAAGAAAACCTTAGTAAACGCAATATTAAGAAAATAGAATTAATCTATTTTCCTCTGACCGAAATGATTTGGACAATTATGGTTCGTTTATTCATGTTTCATAGAATGGCATTCAATTCTCTTTTGTTTGCTAGGCGGGCTTCATGAAAATTCGACGCAAGACGATTGCACTCATGAAAGGCAGTGTCTATTCACACGCTCCACGGTAACTTTGACCGTGGATATACGGGACGTTCTCCCGTGGATTCAAGGTAATTTCTACCGTGGATATATGGGAGACCGAAGACCCTCAACTTTTACTTCTCAAATTAAATCTAGACAATAAACGAGACACATCGAATCAATTGATAATTGATATGGAGATAGTAGACTAGTAAACAATTTTCTCGAATACGAATATCAGTATAGATTAACGCAAATAAAAAATGAAATAAATAATTGACTACACGCAAATAAAATATGAAATGAATAGTTTTTTACATTTTATGTGAACGTTTTCTTAACGATATTCATATTTGTCTAATGGGGTCTGAATGCAGGAGTGGGTACCGAAATATAGTGTAAATGATTTTAAGAGTGATCTCCCAACCAGGGGAGACTCCTACTAGAGTTGGCACAACTCTGGTTTTCAACTCTGAAACCAGAGTTGTGCCAACATTGTCCAGTCGGCTCTAGGAGTCTCCCCTGGTCAAAAAATCATCCTTAGAGACATTTGCACGCCATTTCGAAACTCGCTCTTCAATTCGGGGCCAAAAAAAACATTCACATCTTGTCCGACATCTCTGCTATGAACTCTGATTTTCAATCTGAAACCAGAGTTGAAAACCAGAGTTCATAGCAGAGATGTCGGACAAGATGTGAATATTTTTTGGCCCCAAATTGAAGAACGAGTTTCGAAATGGCGTGCAAATGCCTCTAAGGATGATTTTTTTAACAGGGGAGACTCCTACCGTGACAGCCATCATAAATGTCTCGTCATGTCACGGTCAATAACAGTCACATGACCGTCATATGACCGGTAAAATCATGAGAAATTCACGGGCTGAAAAATTTTCGTCTACGTCTCTCGTTTTTCTGCGAGATATTGCCCATGCCTTTTATTTAGAAACTATGTAGATAAAACTATTGTTTTTATTTGTGACAATAAATTGTTCGAAAATTTGTGCTCCACATGACCGTCATAAGACCGTAATTTTGCATATCTAATAGCGGCATTTCTTTAATTGGTTTCAGGGGTGGCAACGACCGCGCTAGAAGGTGCCGAAGAAGGTGGTGGCGCGTGGGTCGTCTGGAGGAAGAAAAAACGCAAGAGGATTGGCTCTATCGTCACAATTACCACAAAAGTATTTTCATAAAATACTTGTAGTGTTATTTTTATCACGTAAATACAATAACCAAGTGTTTTCATGTCATTGTAAACGTCGAAAAGACACCGGAAAGTGGAGAAGAAGGTGGAGATAGAGTGTTGGACGTTGCCTGCTCCGTATCAATAATCATTACTTTCAAATAAGACATACGTCATTCAATTTATAATCGAACAAGTAATTTTCAAGTTCATTTTAAAATTAACGTAAGAGGGAGAATACGAGTGATTGGAGTAAAAGGATAAAAGCTCGTCCAAACGTTGGAGTAGAATTATCAAGTGAGGACGAGTTGTCACAGGTGATTCAATCATGAACGAATTGGATAGTCTTCGTACGGAGGCGGAAACCCTCAAAAATGCCATTCGGGTGAGTTGTCTAAAATTAGTTTAAGAGTATTCTTTGTTTTTATTTTTTTAGAGACAGAGTTCTACTAATTTATAAAAAAACTGTGATGACATCTTTTTTGTAAATTAATATCACTGGAGAACAGTTGCAGTTTCAATTCCTTCACACGTATGCCGCTGACTTTTGTATGGGCAGAGGTTTCATTTATTATCTTGACATGAGTTTGAGCTTTCATCTTGTCACATATCTAACCTTTATTTTGACAGATACTTGAGCTTTTATTTAAAATATAATTAGCTTTTATCTTGATGTGAGTTTGAGCTTTCATCTTGCCATGTGTTCAAAGTTTTATCTGCAAGAATTTGAACTTTTACTTCGAGAGAAGCTCTAACCTTTATTTTGACAGATACTTGAGCTTTTATCTGGGATATAATTCGCTTTTATCTTGACATGAGTTTGAGCTTTCATCTTGTTACATATTCAAACTTTTATCTGCGAGAACTTAAACTTTTACTTTGAGAGAAGCTCTAATATTCATTTTGGCAGATAATTGAATTTTGATCTGGAATAAAATGAGCTTTTATCTCGTAAAAACTTGAAATTTTACTTTGACTTAAGCTCTAAGCTCTATTTTGACAGGAACTTGAGCTTTAAGCCTGTCATAAATATAAGTTTTTAGCTCTATTGACACTCTAACATTTATCTGACAACAATCTAGATTTTTTATCTGGATAGAAACTTGAGCTATTTTAACCCATAGTTTCAACTTTAATATTGACAGAAGCTTGTCCTTCTATCTTGACAGAAATCGTATTTTTTATTCTATCAAAGCTTGAGGCTTGATTTCTTATTTACTGAACCCATCAGTCAAAAGTCTTACGATCCATTTGTCTCAGTAGTGCAAAATTCTGGGCTTTTTCAAATCCATGCTCAAGCTTTTACCGGTTTTCATGAGCTTCTGGAAGATAAACTACAAAAATTCCTCCACCAGAGCAAATTACACCTGTCTTCAATGGAAGAAAAACTTCAATTTCAATTCAACATTGAAATTTTTCATCTGAATACGAAAATAGTGTTAGGTTTCTCGTCTTACCGTGAGCTTTTGACGTGCTGTCCGTCCTCTTCAGTTGCACTATCAGAGATTTTAATTAGTTTCAACTCCAGTAGTTCAACGTCAAAATATGAGAAGTCCTCAAAGATCAATGGAGAGTTTCTGATGCAAGAGCTTTCCGATGGATTTGACAGAGCTTTTAATGAAGATTTCATGACTCTCTGAAGACGAATGAATCGCCGTATTTTAATTAGTTTCTCGTGTGCTTCTCAATCCCTAGAATAACAAGCATTCAATTATACTTGTGTATCACTTCGTGAGATTTTATGTCGAGCTTGACAGTTTTGAAATCTTGGAAAAAACGAGATCAATTTCATGATTTGATCGATGAAGATTTCCCACTGAAATTCCATGGAATTTTGTCATTGCAAAAATTAGTTGAAACTGTAAATTTCAATTTAATTTAATGAAAATTCAGGGAAATCTCTCCTTGAATTCCGGATTCCTCTGAATTAAATATCAGGGAATCCCGTCAAAATTCCCGAAATTTCGCGCATTTCAAACAGAATTCCATAAAAATTCAAGGGAATTTGGGAGTGAATATTCATCTTCACCTAAAAATTCATGTAAATTGTGGAATTTCTGTCTTTTTGTCGCTAAAAAATTGTGGCTTTACTTGGGGTTTCATGGAAACTTGAAATTCCCTTGACTTTTCCCTTTTTCCCCACAATTTCAGTGTATTTAACATTAGTTCAAAAAAAAAGCTCAATGAAAAAAACTTTCAAAAAAATTTCCAAACAAGGCAGCTTAATGAGCTTTACGAGAGCGTTTCAATGAATTCATCAAGTGCTTATATTTAACGTACACATTGTCCCGAATTTCGAGCTCCACAAAATTTTAATTGAGCCTTCGAAAGCTCCAACCCCAAAAAAAGAACACGAGTTGACGTACTTAAAAAACCCTTTCTCGCTGTTAATTAACACATTCCATCGACAAACGGAAAATTGGAGAGAGAATTTGGTATCAAAAGCAATAGCTGACAGATATACGTGGCATATGAAAGCTATCCCACTCCGATCAGTGATCAATATTTCAGCTAAATTCAATGAGGGAAAAAAGTCGGATAAAAAAGCTCAGTAGGAAGTTTCTCGTGGAATTTCCAATTTCCGAATTTTCCGCTCTCTGTCGATTTTAACAATAAAATCTCTTTTTTTTCACACGAACGTCGAAGATCTTCTCGATGATCTGATATGACAGCAAGATTTTTCGCTCTACCATGAGAATTCTAATGAATTGAAGCTGTATAAGTCGATGGATGGTGGTTGCTGGTTATTGGTGTTGGCAACCCGTAGAAACCACTGTAGTAGTGGTAGTAGGGCGCGGCATAACGGTCGCTTCTCTCCTCTGATCAATACGCCACCATCCCTCTTTCTCACGCTTCTACTCGTGCTTTCTCTGTTACACTTGAGGACCGAAAAAAAAATCCCTCTATTTTTTTTCCTCTCTGGATTATACAAGTGTCCGTATTCTCAATGTCGAAGCACTTTATACATTTTTTAGCACGCTTTTTCCCCCCGTAGTCTTACACCTCTCGACGGAAGTCAAAAATATCAGGAAAAATAAACAGCGCGGGGAAAACATCTTCGGGAATTACAGAATTCTTTCATTATCTCCAAGAGTCGTTCCTGTGCGGGGATTTACGTAGTTTTTGCATCCGAATGGAAGCATTGTTAGTGTCCGATTTTCACATTCTCTAATTGTGATTGGAAATGATGTAGAATGGTCTGAAACGTAAAAATACGAAGTTTGGTGACTATGTCTGTATGTGGCCACGTCCACCGCCACCTTCTCTGAAATTTTGTCAGATTATAGGTCTTAATGAAGACTAATTCTGTGCAAAATTTCAGCTCGAACGATCTAATAGTTTTTGAGAAAAAGCCATTCGTTTTTAAATCGTTTTCCACAAATATCTTAAAAACTAGTGGACCGATTTCGATTTTTTTGTTCCCAAAATATTCGATTCGATGCCTTCTATCTAAATCAATCAAAACATATACACCCGCTCACACAAAGTTTTCACGATATTCCCGTTTTTCCGTTTTTTCATAGAAAAAACCTTGTAATCACTCTAGCTTGTGCAAAAATCGAGCTATCAACTTGATATTTGGACAGAATCTTTTTCTCATGATAACAACAGTTCGTATTGAAGATGGGATTAATCACATCAGTAGTTTCGAAGATATTCGAATTTTTCTGGAAAACTTTTATATGCAATATCTTCAAAACTCCATAACCGATTTCACTTTTTTTTTTCAAATATTTGTTTCGATGCCTTCTATCTAAATCAATCAAAACACATCAGTAGCGAAGTGGTAAAACGGTATAAGTCAATTTTGACTATTGACCAGTTGTCAATAAATATCTCGGAATCTAAGGGAGACAGCAAAATGTTTGTTATAACCTTTTTTGTAGAGCCGACTGAGAGCTGCAACAAAGGTAGTTACGAAAATGTCGCTATCTCCCTTAGATTCCAAAATATTCCTCAAAAACTCAACGGGGAAATAAGTCGACTTAAACCGCTTTACCATTTCGCAACTGATATATACCCGTTCATACAAAGTTTTCGAGATATTCCCGTTTATCTGTTTTTTTTTTCATAAAAAAAACTTTGCAATCACGCAAATCACGCGAATCTTGGTCAAAAATCGAGATATCAATTTGAATTGAGATTTTTATAGCCCATAGAGGTGGCAGTAAACATCTGGAATTTTTGCTGTTAGTATTGTAAAGCTATAAACTTTTGTAATATTTCAGACCATTCGGAAACCCGCCATCAATGTACTGATGGCGAATAAAAAATAAAACATCACTCAGTGACGTGCTCACTGTCACATGCTTGTTTTTTTAGTTTTGAGACTCTGTTATCATTCTTATTTTTGACTTTAGGATGCGAGGAAAGTGGCATGTGATACCAGCCTTGTACAGGCAACAGCGGGAATGGAACCCATTGGGCGGATACAAATGCGAACGAGACGCACATTACGTGGGCACTTGGCAAAAATTTATGCGATGCATTGGGGTAGTGATTCCAGGTAATTTCAACATGTTCCAACAGCTGTAGGTTGATTTTTCTCAAAATTTTGTTGAATGACGAAGATTTTTTGAAAGAGCTGTTGGTTTTCGATGAATGCCTTGAAATCTAAGGGAGATAGCGAAATTTTTGTCAAGACCTTTTTTGTAGCCCTCAATTCGTTCTACAAAAAAGGTCGTTAGGAAAATTTCGTTATCTTCCTTAGATTCGGTTTTACCGCTTCGCTACTGAAATGTCAAGAGGCATTTTTTAAAATTGCCGAAAGACATTGGTAATTGAAAATTGATAAATTGAATTGATAAATTATTTGTCAAAAAATATTGTACTTTCAGAAATTTGGTGTCAGCCTCTCAAGATGGTAAACTCATCGTGTGGGACAGTTACACCACAAATAAGGTACATGCAATACCTTTACGATCATCGTGGGTAATGACTTGTGCCTATGCACCATCGGGTAGTTACGTTGCTTGCGGTGGTCTCGACAACATATGCTCTATCTACAGTCTCAAGACGCGAGAAGGCAATGTACGAGTTAGCCGTGAATTGCCAGGACACACTGGTTATCTATCGTGCTGTCGATTTCTAGATGACAATCAGATTGTCACAAGCTCTGGCGATATGTCTTGGTGAGGAGTTTTTCATACTAGCGCCCTGCCATTATGCCCTTTCTCATATATTCCTATAGATCAGATGTTGAATTTTCTTATTACAATCAATGATGTGATCGTGTTCTAATTCCTGCGCTCACTGAATGAGATCTTAACTATAGTTACAATTCAATTCCTTCTAAAACACACTTTAGAGTGTGAATTGCTGGAATTCAATGTTTGTTGATATTCTGGTAAAAGTGTGTGCCCACACTGTCATCAATTTTTAGTTAGTTCACACGGTAATTCAATTAATTTGTTGTTCATCTCATCAATATAATTCCGTGCTTAGAATATTGTCATCTCGTGTTTTCACCACCAAATTAAAAATTAAAACTTCATTTGGAATATTGAGTCACAGCTTCTTTTTATTCATATCAGAAATTTTGTATTTGGATATTAATATTATTCGTTCAAAGTGAAAAAATCGATCATCATTTTCACTATATGTATTGCATTCAGATTCCTATTCTTAACGTCAGAAATGTGAGATAATCTCATAATTCTAGCTATTAATTTTATTAATACTCAACTTTGTTCGAAGAAAACCTTAGTAAACGCAATATTAAGAAAGTAGAATTATTCTATTTTCCTCTGACCTAAGTGATTTAGACAATTATGATTCGTTTATTCATGTTTCATAGAATGGTATTCAATTCTCTTTTGTTTGTTAGACGGGCTTCATGAAAATTCACCGCAAGACGATTGTCTTCATGAAAACCGCCTTACTATCTCCATTCGTTCGTGATATTGCCCATGCTTTTTTTTAGAAAAGGTTTTTTATTTTTGAAGGCAGGACATTCAACGCCATTTTTTTGCATTCCCACAAATTGATTTATACCGCATTTCAGTCCAAAATATGAGGTGAAATAGTAGGGTGAACAGGCTAATAGCTGGACTCGGGCCAATACCTCGACGTTTTCATCTTTTATTGAATATTCTATAAATAATAGAATGAAAACTCTACGGATTATTATCATTATCAATAATAACACTTATGTATAATCACGTGATGGAATTTTTTTTTCGAAATATCAACATTACAGCAAGAAAAAAAAATATTCGGGAGGTACAGTGGTAGGTGGTGTGGCGCTGCAATTTGCTAAGCATCAGTAACAAAGTCTCGTGGAAAAAAAAAGTTCTCTTCCGAAAGACTCAGATGTGGGAAATAGCACAATATTTTCAGGAGGAGAATCACATCCCAAAGATTAAGAATCTATTTGGCCTTGTGTTTCTTCACATTCAATAAAACAAAATTCCCATTTTTGTATAAACTGGATGACAATTCTATATTCCTCCAGACCGCCCATGTATTGGCCATCCACCGTCCATCTATTGGGCCTAGCGTCCAGTTATTGCGGATTTTGACGATATCCCACTTTTTCCATTATTTATTTAATTATTCTTCTCTGTATTTTTTCCACTTCAAATTATTGTTTTTTTCCAATTCACATATTCCTTCAGGTCTAGAACTCATTTTTTATTCATTCAGCTACTTCATCGATTTTAAATCCTTCAATGAAATTCAACATTTCCTTAGCCGTCCAGCTATTTTAGCCTGTTTACCCTAGTTCTACACAAAAATTTGAAACAAATCTCTTGGAAATTTCATCAGCATCAAAAGAACTCTGAAATTTCCTCCTAGAAATCCACATTCTCAAAAAAACTGACATTTCACATTTCATCCCTTGGCCCCAACCGTGAATTCTACTTCCTCCATCCTCTCTGGACCCTTCAATAATTGCTGGAGAACATAAAAATAATTTATTTGATTGCAGTGCTCTGTGGGATATCGAGACTGGCCAGCAGTGCACCTCATTTATCGGTCATACCGGCGACGTTATGTCGCTGTCATTGGCACCAGACATGCGCACATTTGTCTCAGGTGCATGTGACGCTAGCGCTAAATTATGGGACATTCGTGAGGGCTCGTGCAAGCAAACTTTCCCCGGCCATGAGAGCGATATCAATGCCGTTACGGTAAATATAATTCATTATTCGGAATGTTCATTTGCAATTTCCCTCGATTATTCGAAATTTCTCATGACAGTAGGAGGGGATTTTCTCCTTGATCCTTGATCATGATCCTTTCTCCTTGATCATATGGCTATTGTCATTCTTTAACGAAATAGGCGGGCAATTTCTCTTTTATTGCACGTAGCACGGTTATTTTTGCTGTATGTATAATTCATTATTTATTCAATTTTATTAAATTGAATAAGATTTCTTTTCAACTAATTTTGTCAGATTTTCAACTTAGTTAAATGTTATCATCATCATTATTCCTATAATATTCCTATTATCATCATTATTCCTATTATCCCTTTATTCTATATAACCGATTGTCTTTTTTACGGTTCTATCTCTCCTCTCAGCCCTTCCATAAAATTTTGATAGAAAAATTTTATTTACACATACTTGAATGAATTTGATACATTACATTTGAAGAAACCGTCAGAAAGCTCACTTTCAGGGAAATTCATGAAAAATTTGAAATTTTCAACAATCATCATAAAAATCTAATCAATCAATATAGCTATCGTAATCATCTTTCAACTTCGAATTGATGACATTAAAACGAACATTTTAAACTATGATTGAATTAATTTGAAGGATGATATTCAAAGATATCTCCGGAATTCAGATTTTCAAAAAATACAAAATTTTTGCAAATTTTCAAATGAACCAAAATAACGATTATGGCTATCGCTTTCACCTTCAAATTCGGTCAAAAGGACATCCAAACAATTCTTTTAAGACATCATTCAATCAATTCAGAACATTCTTTTAGTTATCATGGGAGAACAGATTTTCAGAAAAATTACAAAATTTTAAAAACTAATCGATGAAGGAAGTAGAATCATGGGAAATGTGAAGAAACTAATAAATTGCACTAGATTAATGTTTTACAAATGTAATAATGTGGTTAGAGTTCCCAACATGTAATACTTCAGAGAATAATATGACTATATACTCAATTGTCAAGGTATGATGAAGTCATTCTTGTACACTGAGAAATAAAATTACTTTTGCCAAGAACATTTACTAACTACAAGAAAATTGACACATGTCTTATGCAGATATTTATATGTATTTCCTTGTGGCAAGTAAATATACTTGGCAAAAGCATTTTTTTTCCAGTGTATATGTTCTGTGGGCGACTGACGGACTTGCGGCTGTCGGTCTTTACTTTTGTTTTTTATATAAAAATGAACTTTGAATTTCTGACGTTTATTAATGTACGTTTCGTAGTATTTTATTACTTCCAGAAGCCTAAGGCAGCTTAAATTACAAGCGAAACGTCGCGATTTGACAATAATCTAGTGCAGTTTATTGTTTGCTCCACATTCCCCATGATCCTACGTCCTTGATATTAACTACGGAGATGAATAATAATTTCACTAATCGATGAATTAAATTTTAATTCATGGCGATTGATAAGGCTCAACAATACCTACATTTGAAGAAAAAAAAATCAATTCCATCCATTCATTAGTGAACAACTGAAGAAAAACTTTGTTACATACGTACACACAAACACACACGTACGAGCAAGGTCTAAAAATCGGATTTTCGTAGTCCAAAACTTGAAAATCCAAAACTTAAATTTGAACGATTGCAAAGCTTCGATTCGGAAGCAAAAGGAGTGATCGTGAGGGTCACTGATCTCAAGGGTTGTGATGAGGGTATTCTTTGGCTCAACAAATGCTCAAAAAAGCCCTAAACCAAAATTCAGTAGCGAAGTGGTAAAACGGTTTAAGTCGACTTACCTCTTCGTTGAGTTTTCGAAGAATGTCTCCGAATCTAAAGGAGATAATGAAATTTTCATAATGACCTTTTTTCTAGAGCAAATTGAGTGCTACAAACAAGATTTTAACAAGAATTTACCTATCTCCCTTAGATTCTGTGATATTCACTAAAAACTGGCCAATAGTCAAAATCGACTTGAACCATTTTACCACTTCGCTACTGAATTATCAGTAATCTGAAATATTATAAATTATCAATTCCATAATTTTTGTGCCATTGAATCACTCATTTTCCATTCTCTATCTCCTTGCAATTTGTGAACAAGGTGCTGACGTTATCGCAGATATTTATTGCAGTAAAGAAAATCAATTAATCACTTTTTTCCAACAGTTCTTCCCCAATGGATGGGCATTTGCGACGGGTTCAGACGACGCCACATGCCGATTGTTCGACATACGTGCCGACCAAGAATTGGCAATGTACAGTCACGATAACATCATCTGCGGTATCACGAGTGTTGCATTCAGCAAGAGTGGAAGACTCCTCTTAGCTGGATACGATGATTTCAATTGTAATGTCTGGGATTCCATGAAGAGTGAACGTGCAGGTACGAAGACATTACCATTTTTCACTGCAATATTATTATATTTTCTATCTTTGCATGAGAGAAGAGAAGTATTCCAAATTGTCCTTCTCAATTGCAGTAGAATAATCATCAACAGAGTAGTTTATGTAGCAGAAAATTCATATTTGCAAATTCATTTCAATGAAAATGACCGTAAATTGAAAAAAAAAAAAATTCGACTGGGTTGTTGGTCGCTCGCTCCCATTGCGGGTGGGTTGAAGTGGGTGTGACCCATTACGGGTCGAACCAATAGCTTTCCGACCAATGGTCTTTCCTTCATTCATTAGAATTAGATTTTTCTATACAACTTATTCTATTGAGATATTTTCCATTTAATTTACTCGGCTCAAATTTTCTAAGTTTTTCTGTTTGATTTTCTCTATGAAAAAAAAAAGAAAAAAGAATGAAAAAAAATAACACTTTAGTTAATGTTAAGGGATTTTTTCCCCACACTGAGATAAAAAATTAGCTCTGCCGAAAAATTATATGTTTCACGTGAGAATATTTGATGGAGTAGAACAGATTTAGTCGAGGGAAATTAACCAACTTGGTAGAAGAAAAATTAATATCTTTTCCAAAAATTAAATCTGTGTCCTAATTATCAGAAATATCCCTAAACAAATTCGAACTGTTGTCAGGAAAAAATATAATCTATTCTACGACAATCATTTGATCTGAGAGAACTCTATAGGTTTATACCATAGAAAGAATACATTGACGAGGAAAGAATATTTTTTTCAAAAAAAAATTGAAATTATAAGTGTTTATTGGACAAAGATATACACTTCTCAATAACATTTATTTGATAAAACCGGAGCCTCATAATTCTCTGTAGAACGAATGTATTTACCCGAAAGACATGTACATGTCTCACGAGAACAATTACTATTACAAAAATTATCATGTTTTGGTGGAAACTTTCTTTTTTGTCCACAACTAAATTAATTCCACACGACAAAAGATCTCGTCAGCAGAAATTTTTTCTCTCAGTGGATTAAAGTATAACTATAACTCAAATTTTGAAGATTAAAATCCGAAATAAGTTCCAAACCGAAGCTGAAACATTATACTTGAGTTCTGTTCTCAATCAACAGTCTAATATTATTTTAAATAATCAATTTAGAAATGCCAAAATAACACAGTCTCATTAAAAAATGCACATTTCAAGTTCAGAGAGAAGATTGAAATCTAGAAAAAAATTTAGAAACGCCCTAGTGAAACGAGAGACCATTGTTTTAAAAAATAATAGAAGAATTGAATTGAAAAATAATGAATTGAATTAATTTCTCGGGTTCATCCACTTTAGAACTGATTTCAAAATCTTTCAATGACTAAAAACCAATAAAAAACAGAAAAAAAATTTCCATGATGAATAATTTTTTCTTTTTGGCATTTCAAATGTATTTTTCCCCCTTGCACTTTAATAATTCATTATTCTTTCAGGAATCCTCGCCGGACACGATAATCGTGTATCATGCCTGGGTGTGACTGAGGACGGTATGGCAGTAGCGACAGGTTCATGGGACTCGTTCCTCCGTATTTGGAACTAAATCGATCAGTCGTTTTTCTTTTTAAATTCTCAACCATGAAGACGAAAATAATTCTCCACTTATTTACCATTTCTTCGTTATTATTTCGTACGAGTTAGTCCTCATTGGCACGTACCTCCAAAGAACCAAAAGAAGGAGAAAAATAACCCACAGACTCCGCTGAAAAAAAACCGCCATTGTCCCATCACCACAAATTGAAACATGAATAAATGACCACCACGAGTTCGTCACAATGCCAGAAGGAGAATAAATAGATGAAATTTTACATAAGTTATTGTTGACTCAAATTTTTTCCACTGAGTAGTTCATTAAACTGTGGGGATTCAGCGAATGACAATTTCTACGCGAGAAGAAATCGCCAAAGATGATTGAAATGCAACAAAAAAAAATCATAAAAAAAAATCGTTTTCTAATTGTTTTGTTTTTTAATTAACTTTTTTTCTTTGAGATAATTTGTGTTCAGGACCGGTGGAACGATTAAAATAAATATTACGAGTCAATGTTCACGTGAAAAACTGAAATATGTGACTTAAGAGCAAAAATATTTGAACGAAACAGGTGAAGAGGAAAGGAATCTAACGCACGATCTCGAGTGATTTTTTTTACATGCACACAAATAATTTTTAATGAATCCATATGAACGGGGAAATTATCACGTCAGGGGCACAATGTTCAAGCAATGACAATTATAGTGCTGAGAGGGTTAAATAAATGAAAAAAAAAAGTAATCGATTGATCAGTAATTTACGTCGATTTGTTAATTTGCCACGCTGATATACAATTGTACACAAATCAACTGAATAATTCGGGCGCACATGATATCACAAATAAAAGAGGATAAAATGAATTACAAAATAAGGAAATGCAAGAGGAAAAAATATATATTCCTTGACATTTTTTCCTCCTTTTTCATCGATTATTCTGTTATTTATTTTGTATAGAAATCTCCTGTTTGCCATAAAGAAAATCATCGTCATTGGGAAGGAAGAATAGTTTTTCTTTCGATTCAATTTAATCATACGATAATACCACTTATTATTACATAGTGTTAGCAGAGAGATTGATTATCCGAGAATTGCACAGATTTACAATTTTTACTTCCCATTGTATAATTTCAACGATTATTAATCGGTAATGTTTGAAATAGGACCCAAAGACGAGTGAAGAAATATTGATTTCATCGTCGAGCCATCAATTTCCATAAAATTTTCACCATTTTATTTTCAATTTTTTTTTTCTAAATTAAGAAAATTGATAGGTAAATTCTTTCCACGTTATTGTCGAAGAAAAAACCCTAGATGTTAACGATGAATTTTAAAAGAAATGGAAACAACTGTGTATGCATTTAAAAATGATAAACAAAAAAATCTTCAAAAACAAAAAAAATTGTAATAATATAAATGATAATGATTGTAATTTATAAATATTAATATTTAATATGTAAGTAATCGTAAAGTGTCGATTTTCAAGGTTTCATTGAGTGAAAAGATAACCGAGATTACGAGGAAAAGTCGCAGTTAAAACCGATGAATAATAATTGAGAAAAAAAATCAACTGCGATTGCAAAAAAACCTTTAACAAATCCTTACCCATCGCGAGAAGAAGAAAAAACCAATTAATTACACTACGTTCACTGTGGATATTTGTAATCATTTTTTGATAACTATCTTCTAAACTAAATGATCGCTTCAACTGCAAGAGAATAAACAATATGACTTCATATATGTTAATAAGAGGAAAAAATAATAAACGATGAATCGAGTGAAAATTCATTCAACTGATGAAAATTAATTACTGATTGCTGTTGAAGTGTTTAATAACACGTGTGAGGCAAATCCCTGAATCAAGAGAGATCTGTAACTTTTTTGTATCTCGTAGTGACTCGTGGCCAGAGATGATTAAACAGATGTGAATGATCCATTTGTTTTTGTACTTTTGAATGTATGAAGAGTTGTTCCTTCATTCGTAATTACTTCTTATCATTTATTTTATTCATTACTCTGAGGTAATTGTAAGTAAACAAAATCGAAAAAAAATAATAACGTAATGATAATGGAGTAGTCGAGGAATTTAGAAAAACACCATTTTGAGGATCACGAGGGGTCTTGAGGGGTGAATAAATCATTATTATGTATCTAGTCATAGGCACACGCAGAAACTACGGAAATGAGAGGGATTAATCGTTCAATACAATATTGACATTAACAATGATTTTTTAGGGTTAATTATATGCTTTAAGGATTATTGTAATCTTTATTATCATTATTACGATTCTGGTGTCATTATTTATCGATTGATTTTCGTGGATTCTTGTCTCGGTGAAATCATCATTGAGGTAGGGATTTTTATTATTATTTTCCCAAGCAGATATTCATTAAATGCATGAACAAAGTGACAGAAATAAAAATAATGTTCAAAACCCAAAATGTTATAGATAATAGTTTTATTTTATTGTCAGGGCTGGTGGAACAGGAATATTTGTCCATGAAAAGATGTCTCGTGAAGCTTAACTTACAGTGAGGACAACATTTTACGTCGTGAATTCCCAGCCAAAAGGGGATGAAAAAGTCAGAAAAGTGTTTTTAAAAAATTGGTTCATTTCGTAGGAGTCTAATGCAGGAAATTGAAGGTGAAATGAAGGGGATAAATCATTTTAAAAAATATTTGAAAACGCGAGGTGGAGGTAGGGATGGCCGATTTTTTATACAACATGTTGTGAATCAATTTTTCTGGAAAAACATCGATTATTTAAAAAATCTATATTTTTTCTCATTCCACGGGAAAAAAACGAATTTTTAAAAATAATTCTTTTCTTCTCGTTTTTATTGAAAAAAATACTCGTTAAAATTTAAATTAAAAAAATTAAAAATTTAAATTTAAGAAAAATAGACGACTGGATTGCCTACTTACCATTTATAACGTATATACTGTAGAAGGTAATGACTTCTGATTACGGATAAATTATTATTTTCTTAATTCTCAATCAATCAACATTATTATTCGATAAAAAAAATGAAAAATTGTTAGCTTCGTCAAAAACATCGATGTTTTCGATTAATCGACAAACATCGTCCCTCCCTAGATGGAGGCGCGGCCACTCTGAACGCTCTTGTTGCAGTGGGAGTGAACCCAAGGAAGATGGCGGTGTTCCTACCCGTCAACCTCGTATTTTTTAACCTTTCTTAAAATTATTTAGCCTATTCAAATCACATTTAAATCGTTTCATCAAGTTCTCTGCAAATGAACAAATTTTCCGACCTATCCTTCAGATTTTTCCTACATTTTTTACATTTCCCCTGGATTTTTTGGGATTTGACATTCGTGTTTCCCTGGCCCCGATGAAATTTCTAATCATCAAATATGGGAACAACAATTTTGGGTCCTATTTCAATGTCAGGGACTATTCCTAGGGGTAGATAGGGGGATGAGAAAAATTTTCCAGAAGATTTAAAAAATTCTTGAACAATTACTTTTTCCAATTTTTTATTTAATTTCGGATAATGACGACGTCACACGCAGCTCTGATGGGAGGGTCGATTAGATGAGATTATGAGATAAATTGAGACGTCGGCTACAACTGCCTCTTTCGAGTGAACTAAATTAAAAACCACCCTGGTAAAACAGTCCCATTATTTCCGACCGGATGATAAAAATTAAATCGGCGTTAATGATGTTTCTGTCTTTGCCCGTTAAATTCCGATTGGTTGGTAGGTAGAGGTTGGAGTTTGAGAAAATTATGAGAAGTAATAGGATCAAGGGTATGTGGCCGTTATCGTCCGATTGCTTTCCAAAAAAGTGGTTGATATATCTCATATTACTCATATAAATATTTAAATGAGCAACAAATATTAAAGAGTTATATGAGCAATATGAGATTTATCAACCACTTTTTTGGAAAGCAATCGGACGATAACGGCCACATACCCTTGATCCTATTACTTCTCATAATTTTCTTAAACTCGAAACTCTACCTACCAGCCAATCGGAATTTAACGGGCAAAGACAGAAACATCATTAACGCCGATTCATTTTTTATCACCCAGTCGGAAATAATCGGACTGTTTTACCAGGGCAACAGGCGAGGAGAAAAAAAAATGAAATAAAATTTTATGAAGAAGAAATGAAAAGAATAATTCAAGAGTGCACTGCATATTTCTTACTCGTAGAGTTTCACATTAATCGTGCGATGAATGAGATAAATGTGAAGATAAATAATAATAATAATAAAATAATATGTGGATTGAGATGACAAAAAATAAACAGGGGTATAAGCCAAACATGAATAAAATTAAATGATAATATTAACTAATATTAATACTGTGTAAATTAACTGAAGGAATGAAAAATTAAAAATATGATGAAAAATTATGATTGAAAATTAATGATTATGGAGGGCACGTGTCTTTACTGTTAAACGGTAGATAGACAAGATGGTTCCATCAATTTTTTATATAACAATTAAAAATTAATAACATGAAACTACACATTTGAAACACACATTGACGTAACGTATGTATAATGAAATAATATAAATGGGGGAAGGAATGGAAAATACTCCACCGAGAATTTTAGTCGAAAAGAAAAGAAAAGAAAAGAAAAAAATTACTCAGAAAATAATTTTTTTTTTCCTTTGGCATCATTAAAAATTGAAGGGGACGAAAAAAATTAGAGAAGAATTTTCTTTTCCATATTTTTCTTCTTTCGCATACTTTTCGGATACTTGGGATCAAAAAAATGACGAGCAATTTTTAATGAGAAAAAGGAAAAATGAAAGTTTATCCTAAAAAAATGAATATAAAATGAAAAAAAATATATGTAGACGAAAAATTTCTCTAAACCATTTAAATATGATGAGTGAACAAGTAAATATAATGATATAATTGCATTTTAATGAGGAAAAAAGGTCGACATGACTGCGGTAGTGTCAACGAGAGGAATTTTTTTTTCACAATTTTGATTTGAAAATTGAGAGAAAATTCATCAGTCGGAGAAGAAATATTGACGTTTCAAATTTCTATCGTTGGGCACTATCGACACTCTGACATCAACTCATTACACGTCATGGTCCATTGACATTCGAAGAATGAGCAATTAATGAATTTGAAATAATGAAGAGGCGAATGTCGAGGGAATGAGCGAAGACAGAAAATATCGAATCATCATTTCCATTGTTATCGCTTCATCCACCGGCGGAAAAATGAATAGAAGCTAATGAGTTCCCATTAATTTCTGCCATACGACGCATCAAATATAATTAATGTGAATGTGAATAAAAGAAAAACCAAAAAGTAACAGATAAAAAATGAATGAAAAAAATGAAAAAGGAAAATAAAGTGTAACGTAGGTCTTAAACCGTCTTCTAAATGCGGGGTTGATGGATTTATTTACCCTGGGTTAGTTGCATTTCTAGGGATAATTGAACATTTTTCTTGCTTTCATCATTCATTGTTTTTTGGTTTGAAGTGTTTACAGGAATTTTTTCGTTTTCCCCTGCAATTTCCAATGGATTTTCTCGAGGATCTGTTGATTCTGGCACAGTTAAATCATCTGGAGAGACTGCACCATCAGTTTTCTTGTCGATGAATAATTTGTTTTCGTGATTCCCCCCCTCGTTTTCCTTATTCCCTTCGAAATCAAATTGTTTTGGGATCGTTGATATCTCCTCGATCAATTTTTTCGGGGGTGATTGGTACTCGGAGTCGAGGGAATCGTCGATTTTTCCGTCGGAGTCATCTCCGTCGTCTTCGGAGGAAGAGGAAGAGAAGATGTTTGAGGAGAATTTGACGGTCGGGTGACTATTTTTTGGAGTTGATGGAGTGTTCTCAATATTTTCGGTTTTCTCGACGTATTCAGGCTCAATTCTCCTCGGCTTCTTCATCAATGCTAAAAGGGGAAATAATTCACAGTAGTCCTCATTGTTTACTTCGATCAAGGGGAGACTTCTATGCACGAAGAGGAATTTTTTACACGGAGAGAAATTCTTAGTAAAAATTACGGAACTCACGACTCGCCCATCGATTACGGAATCGAGTCAGAAACTTTAAGTGACGGTACGGTAATTTTTCACAGGAGATTCAGATAAAAACTACCGAACGCTCTGGAAAAATTCCGTGATAGTTCCGTCAAATTTCCTACAATCACATTTCGCTCCGGAATTATGTATCTTTTCCATAATTCCGAAGCGAAATGTGGTTGTAGGAAATTTTACGGAATTGTCACAGAATTTTTCCGCAGCGTTTCGTAATTTTTATCTGAATCTCCTGTAAAAAATTACGATACCGTCACTTAAATTTTCTGAGTCGATTCCGTAATCGATGAGTGAATTGTGAGTTCCGTAATTTTTACTGAACATTTCTTTCCGCGCAATTTTCGAGCTACAGAGGTTTTTTTTTTCAAATTTTTGGAAAAAGTGTAAAATAGCAATTACAAGTTTGTCTTTTGAAATCCGACTCGTACATAGCCAATTGCGTTTTTTTATTTAAAAAATTGCATCATTCATGTAAAAAAGCCAGAAAAATGATCCTCAAAAGATTTAAAATATATTCTCGATTGTTTTATAAATATTTTTCTGGCTATTTTAGATGAATGATGCAATTTTTTATATTAAAAAAAGAAAATGCCTATGGAGGAGTCGAATTTCAAAAAAACTAACTCGTAGTTGCTATTGTACACTTTTTCTCAAAAATTTGAAAAAAAATCTGTGTAGCTCAAAAATTGGAGGCCCTGAATAATTTAAAATATTTTAAACGTTTGCGGGACACAAACAATAAACAATTTTTTGCATTAATTATTTGTTTTTAGACTTGTATAATCGATCTTCAATATTTGGAAAATCTCACTCCAATAGCCCGCGACTTTCAAAACTCATAGTAATCCCCCCTTAACTACTACTAATTACTTTACCGATTACACTGGCCGATATTTTCCTCTGCTCCTCCGCAAACCATCGGTCCCGCTCCGCCATTTCTTCTTTAGGGCCTCCTCTCTCCCTAATTCAAGAGCCAGAATTACAGCGAATCGATAAAATAATTTCATCAATTTTATTATATTTCGAAGCAGAGAATTTTTGTCTGCAGTTATCTCTATTAATTAACAACTGCTGATTAACGATTTCATATTGTTTCATTACAAAGACAGATTTTTCGTATCTCGAATGGAAAATTTACCAAGCTTCAGCGCAGGCCCTGTCCTTCGGAAAGACTGGGCGATCATCGAGGTACGTCAGCTCTTTACACTTGAGTATCAAAGTTTTTCGGTACATCTTAAGAGTCTTAATCACTGGATTTCCCGTCAGTGTCAGTACCCTCAGCGATTTCATGGCTCCGAAAACCTGTGGCCAAGTGTAACAAGTGGGAAATTGCTTTCGTCACAACATACACTGACAGAAAAAAATCATTTTATCGAGAGAATTTCAGTTGAACCAACTATCATTTGGTTGTTAATTTTCAAATAACCGTGATTTCATAGTGAGTGGCAGCTATCTCTTCCTGAGATACATTTGATTGGGAGAAATCGAACTTCTCTAGAATTGAAGTTCCTTTTATTTGTCGCAATAATGAGAGTATTTGATTTATTTCTAGCCAACAGTTTGCTAACTCCAAAAATTCGTTGGTTTACTCAAAAATCAAAATCATTCTCATAACTAAATACGTTGGTATCTCAGTCAACACGATCATACGTTGTTCCAAGTAAATTATAATTGAAGTGAGCATTTCGTATGTCGAATGAGGATGAAAATTGGGGGATTAACGCATGTTAATCCCATTCGGAAGCAAAACAAAAAAAAATGGACCCGCTTGACCAACGTTGGTAGCCAACATTGTCCCACACTGAGAGAAAAACAAACACGTTGTCAAACAAGTCTTGTTTGGGCCAACAAAATCGTTAGTTGAAAATTGCCAAAAAAGAATTTGTTTGGCTCGAATTTGAAAGTCTCAAACATGAATAATTGTTCTGCTTTCGACAGCAACGAAATATTTGGCTCAAGAGGCGGATAATTCACACCAGACGGTGCCTTTTCAGGATGAAAATATCTCATATAGAGGAAAATTTATCAACTAATATTTTATCCCTAAGTTACAAGATTGCTATCATATCATTATTATTGTTTCATTTAAGGGTTCATTTGTTGTCTGTGATTATTAGACAGCCGAAACGAAAAACTACTATCCCTTGTTTCGCATAAAACAAAGATTTTTCGGGAGCAAAATACGTATGGGAGTATCGAATAACAAAGGAGTACTGCTAAAAATGACATTTCTTGCGTGTACAGAGAATGCAATTTTTTTTTAACTACACGGAGAGAAGTTTTTTCGAAAAATTCTAGTGCTAACACGGGAAAAGAGGCGCAAAGTGACGGCCGGGAAAAAATTCCAGTGCTGGCACTAGAAATTTTATTGGGAAAACGTGAATTTTTCCCCGTATTTCTGTGAAAATTTCACAAAAATTCCCAGAAATTTTACCAGAAATACCAAGAAATTTTACCTTAACAGCACTAGAATTTTTCACCGCCGGTGGATTGTGATTTTTCCCAGTACTCGTACTAGAATTTTTCTAGAAAATTTCTCTCCGTGTAAAGGAGATTGACAAATTGAAGCTTGTATGCAACCGGCTGCACGGAGAGAAACATTCANAAAAAAATCCTGTTTTGATAATTTTCAAAAAATATTTTCTTGGGACAAGTAAGACTTGTTTGAGAACTTTGCCGTTTTTCTCTCAGCAATGCACTGTAAAAATTTTTCACCTTCCCCTGAATATCGGTTTCAATGAGAATGCTGACCTCAAGTATCTCCACCGGTTCTAGGCGATTATGCGACACATCCAGAATCGACAAATTCTCAAGAAATCGGAGGTGCTCTATGTCTTCAACAGCATGCAGGTAATTATGCGATAAATTCAAGGTATTTAGTAGCTTCAGTCCCTCTGGAAAGATCATTATTCAAGTATAATCTGATGAATGAATTTTTAGGGGCGGTATTTTATATACCGAGATTTTCGATTTTTTTAATGATGTTGTAGGATAAATTCAACGTGTCCAGGTTCTCCAGATGGTCGACATTCTCAATCACTTCGATCACGTTGTGATGGAGGTAAAGACATTTTAATTCTGTTTGATTCTCCAAATTTGCTATTTCCTTGATTCCATTGTTCTCCAGCCAGAGGCACTTCAAACCGGTGTATTTTTCCAGATTTTCGATGAAGGAGAAACCTAAAGGGAAAACATTATCGAAATGGTATTGCACTCTTGAAAAAAATAAAATAAAATGGGGGAGAATACACACCTTTATAATGCAGGTAAAGGACATCATTGAGGTACGGCGTTTCGTACAGTTTATTCTCCTTACAATGTTTCTTCAAGAACTGTTCAGTCATCCTGAGAGAGACACGGACGAAAAAATTTAATAGAAAAACCTAGCGAATTCGTTAGAAAATTCTATTGAATTTCTATTGAACTGTTCTATCAGTTTTTGGCCGATTCTATTGAAATGTTCAATAGAAAATATTCAGTAGAAAAAGTGAATAGAATTCAATTTTTCTATATAAGTTGTTCTATTGAGATATTTTCTATAGAATTTCCTCGGCTCAAATTTTCTAAGTTTTTTCGTTTGGTTTTCTTGATGAGGAGAAAAGAAAAATAGAATGAAAAAAACTTGGAAAATTTGAGTCGAGCAAATTCTATAGAAAATATATGAAAAGAATAAGTTGGAAAGAAAAATCGAATTCTGTTGACTTTTTCTATTGAATGTGTGCTAATGAACATGTCAATAGAATCAGCCAAAAACTAATAGAACGTTTAATAGAAATTCAATAGAATTTTCTAACGAATTCGATAGGTTTTTCTATTAAATTTTTTCGTGTGTGGAGAAAAATAAAAAAAAAATAGAAACAAAAAATGTAACAAAAGAATATAAATTGGTCCATAACTTTGCTACCATCTTTTATTTCTACACGTAGAGAAATGTTCAGTAAAAATTACGGAACTCACAATTTGCTTACCGATTACGGAATCGAGTCAGAAAATTTTAATGACGGTATCGTCATTTTTCACGGAAAATTCAGATAAAAATTACGGAACGCTCTGGAAAAATTCCGTGACAGTTTCGTAAAATGTGGGCGTCCACATGAAAAGGGCCCACTTTGACGGGATTGGAGTTATGTATGTTCCGATAATCTTGATCAGATTTCTCACATTTTGAGCCCAAAATCAACCCGATAGAATGAAAAAACAATTTAACATTGGTTTAAATGGGACATGTGGAGAGAAAAACGTGAATATCTCGGAAACTAGATGCGACAAAGTGGGCCCTTTTCACGTGGACGTACAGAAATTTTCTACAACCTCATTTCGCTCCGGAGTTACGGAAAAGATACGTAATTTTTATTGAATATTTCTCTCCGTGTACTCAACCCTGCTTGTGCGAGCATTCACCTGACGCCGTGTTTCTTCTCATCGAAATTATAAGTTTTTCCGGGGATGGGAACTCTCCTCACAATATCTTCAAAGAGTGACAAAGAATCATCAGAACTATCTACTGACGAGGCTTCCGTTTCAATTCGACAGTCGGAAATTTTCTGGTTATCGTGGTCCTAAAAAAAATGTTTCCCATTCAAAAAAATAACGGTCAACTCCTCCGAAATGCTCTTTCCTAATGTTTCTTTCGTTCCGTCAAAACTGAACGCTTTTTCAGGACCTTTTGCTCGACCACCTTGCAAAGTTTGGCGAAATCTTCTGGGAGTTTATCATGGGGTGTCGAGTCTTTCAATCGTTTTGCTGTTTCTGAAGTCTGAAAATTTGGGAAAAATGGAGGCGTTCAAATCCTTTTTTTTAATTTTTAGCTTTTGATATTTTTAAATGGACACATTGAGAGAAAATATTTGTTCTGCCGAGAAATTATGTGTTCCCCTGAAGAGATCATTTGTCGTGTTGGATCACTGAAACATGATAATTCTCGTAGTAGTAATTGTTCTCGTGCACAGAAATATTCAGTAAAAATTACGGAACTCACAATTCATTCACCGATTACGAAATCGACTCAGCAAATTTAAGTGACCGTATCGTAATTTTTCACAGGAGATTCAGATAGAAATTACGCAACGCTTTGGAAAAATTCTGTGACAATTCCGTAAAATTTCCCGCAACCACATTTCGCTCCGAAATTACGGAAAAGATACGTAATTTTTATTGAGTATTTCTCTCCGTGTGGGGTATTTACATATCTTTCGGGTAAATACATTCGTTTTACAGAGATTTATATGGGGCTCCGGTTTTATCAAGTGAATGTTATTGAATTGTGTATATCTTTGTCCAATAAAGACTTATAATTTTCATGGAATAAATGATAATTTCAAGAGGAAACCACAATTTTCTTGCCGAAAACTGTGTTATTGGTAAAACTAAATAATTTCGAGGTGACAATTTTTTTGGGAACAAAATATTCTATCCTCGTCAATGTATTTTTTCTACGGTATTAACCTATGGGGTTCCCTCAAATCAAATGATTGTCGTACAATAGATTATATCTTTCCCTGCCAACACACGGAGAAAAAAATTCCAGAAAAATTACTGTGCCAGCACGGTAAAATGGATTCGTTTGGACGGAGCCGGAAAAATTGCCGTGTCAGCACTGGAAAATTTGCTGTGGATGGACACGGTAAATCCGAAAAAAATTCTTGTAGTGCACGGGAATTTTTCCGGGTCCATCCAAATGAACTTATTTTACCGTGCTACCACAGTAATTTTTCTGAAATTTTTTTTCTCGGTGCAGTTCGAATTCTTGTGGGGATTTTTCTGATGATCACAACAAAAATTTAATTTTTGTGAAAGATATTAAATTTCCTTCTGTCAAGTTAATTAATTTCCCTCCGGCAAATCTGTTCCACTCCATCAAATATTCTCACGTGGAACATACAGTTCTTCGGCAGAGCAAAATTTTTTTCTCTCAGTGTACCTGTGTCTTAATTTTCTCATTAAAATCCGCTACGAGAGATTCAGAAATTTCTGTTATTCTGCAGCCCGAGAGTTCTTCATGGTCAGATCCCTGAGGGAAAATAATTCTCGATAAAAAAAAAATTATTTCCCTGTGAACTATTTAATTGTTCGCGTTACGTCATTCTCAGCATCCGAATTCTGTTCCACATCCTCAATATTCGCAGTTTTCTCCAAAAATTGAATATCATGAACATTCCCCTTTTGAATCGACTCCACGATTTCCTGTCTCGTCAGGGGCAGGTGAATACACCCAGAATCAGGAGAACCCGAGGACGTCTCGAGGTGGTTCATCACTTGTTCGAATTTTTCGTCGAGTTTTTTGAGCGCGAGATTTTTTTGAAACTCAATCTTCAATTTCTCCTCTTCAATGAACTCCTTAACATTTCTTCGAGAATGTATTTGGTAGGACGATTTTTCCGATAACGCGGTTGTTTCATTTACGTCGTTAGTCTCCATTTTAATTAATTACCCTTGAAATAAAATTTAATTCCATTACTCAGAGATCAGAAGAACAATTATTCTTTCCCGAATTTGTGAACAAAAAAATTGACCGAAAGGAAATGTAAAAAGTTGATGAATATAAACGATAGAAAAAAAATTCATAGAAAAAATGAGTAGATTTTCTGTAGGAATTCCTCGCCACGAATTTCCCCAGTTCTTCAAACTCTATTTTTCCTTTTTTCACAAAAAAAAAATCAGACGAAAAAACTTGGAAAATTGAAGCGGAAGGATTTCTATAAAAAATATCTCAATAGGATAAATTATTCAGAATAATTGAATTCTATAAATTTATTCTACAGAATATTTTCCATTGAACATTTTAATTAAAAAGAAAATCCGCAGATTTATTTAAAAATCCCCAAGTTTCCTACAGAATTTTCGCGTACATAACCGTCAAAGTTCCTTTAGAAAATCGTGTCAATGCTGCAGCCTCTCAATAGATTCACCGACGAAAAAAAAATCCAAGTTCAGACATAAAAAACGATATTCCCCTCAACGAATGATAATTAAAACTAGCATATTACGGCACGTTACCTTCACACTCTCCAACCGTCGATTAAACGATAAGAGAAGCGTAGATGCTGCATAAATTTCGCTACGTAAGAATGTCAATTCCCACAGACTAGACGTGGCACAAAAAATGCAGAAATTCTGATTATTTCTTTTGTTTATTCCAATGACGGTCGTCTGCTCATCGCGTCCTCATGGAGACAACTGATGCTTGTTTGATCGATACATGCGCGCACGAAAAAATTTCTCGATATTATAAAAGTCCAAATCGACTTCCGGTAATGAAAATTTGGTACTCGAAATAAAAACTCCAAAATTAAGGGTCAAAGTATGGTTCATGAGGGCCAGAATAAGGATCGCGAAGGTCAAAATAAGGGTCAGAATAGGCAGATGAAAGATCACGAGGATCAGCTTAAGGTCATGAGGGTCAGAATTATGGGGCAAATAAGGGCCCTAGGAGTCAAATTCAGAGTTATGTGTCAGATTGAGGGTCACAAAATTAAGGGTCCAAAGACGGATAATAAGGGTCAGATTAAGGGACATGAGGGCCAGAATAAGGGCCACGAGGATCAGATTAAGGTCAGGCGGGTGCGAATTATGGTGCAAATAAGGGTCCCAGGAGTTAGCTTAAGGGTTATATGAGTCAGATTGTGGGTCACAAGATTAAGGGCCCAAAAGGTAACAAGGGTCAGATTAAGGAGCTAAGTAAGAGTCGCAGGCGTCAGATTAAGGGTCAAAGTAAGGGTCCAAATAAGGGTTATGTGGGTCAGAAACTAAGGTCACGAAGGTCAGAAAACGGGTCACGAGGGTTGAAGTAAGCGTCACGAGCTTCAGCAAAAAAGTTGCGAAGTTCAGAATAAGGGTCACGAGGGTTGGATTAAGGGTTACAAGGGGCAGATTAAGGGTCATGGAGGTCAGAATAATAGTCCAAATAAGAGTCCCAGTAGTCAGATTAAGGGTCATATGGATTAGATTAGGGGTGTCATGGGTGACACTAAGGCTCCAAATAAGGGATATGTGGGTCAGAAAATAAGGATCACAACGGTTAACGAGTGGAGCGAGCGGGGGGCGTACCCCCTAGTTTAATAGGAAAAACTAGCGAATTCATGAGAAAATTCTATTGAATTTGTATTGCACTCTCTATTAAACTTGGAAAATTTGAGCCGAGGAAATTCTGTTGAAAATATCTCAATATAATAAGGTGTACAAAAAAATCGAATTCTTTCGACTTTTTCTATAGAATATTTTCTATTGAACATTTAAATAAAATCGGCGAAAAATCAGTAGCAAGTTCAATAGACATCCAATAGAAATGTCTATCGAATTCGCTAGGTTTTTCTATTAAATTTTTTCATCTATGTGTGCATTTGGATAGAGAAAAAAATACCATTGTTAGTCGCAGTTTGCGAATTTCAAATTGACGTTTTTTTCGGGGGTTTCGACGTTACTTAATGAACAATTCAGCTGTGATGTAGGAAAACGTGATAATTCTGGTGAAATCCAGGTCGAGTTATCGATAAATATCTCTCATGCATTTTAAGAGGTTTGATCGAAAAGCATTTTTTTTTAATTTCCAAATTTGGAATTACAAGTGAATTTCAAAATTCCATTTCTTTACTCCACTTTCTTTGTTCCTACGATTTCTCACGGGGAATCGTTAGGCTCATCTATTAGCTGTCATACTCCCTGACCTGATCACAATATGTGTAGATCAGTTTGAATGATGCAAATAGTCCAGCATTATTCTAGACGCACATTGCACATTTTGCGTAATGCTTCACGTGGTACTTCAGTCTAGTCCACTCCGTCCTCAGACTTCAGTCGAGCGGCGACAGTCGGGAATAATAATGCAGCGTGTGAAGGAGCTTTTTTCAATCCTTTGCGAACGAAAAATTTAACGCAGGTTAATGATTTATGATGAGTTCATTTTAAGGTGAAATGATTTTCTACTTTTGTAGTCGAACATCAGAGCTTTCGTTCGAGACCCATTTGAATCTAAGTTTCCGGACATTTTACAATGATTTGATTATTTAAACTTTGCAGATATCAATTTGATGCTCGAAAGTTTACTTTTCGAGGAAATGTTAATGAAATTATTTAAAAAATTGCAATTTTTGAAAATTACGAGCATTTTCTAGAAATAATTTATAAAGAATCAATTTTTCACCGTAAAAATCACTCAAATCAAATCAAATCACCCGGCTAAAAAATTCGATTTTGGCGAAAGTCGACTTTCCCTCTGGAAAAACCGAAAATCTGACCCTTTGGCTCCGAATGAAAAATTTTTTTCATTTCGACATTTGTCGCGCGTCCGCGGGTTTCATTGGCATCAGAATTGTTCGAAAATACAGAATCAACCCTCAATAACACCGCCCGCTGTCGAGCGGGCTTCACATGGCGCAAAAATTCAATTTCGGTGTAAATCGACTTTTACCCTGACCCTTGACCCACGTGAAAATGAAAATTTTTTTTTCGTCTTTTCTGTCACCTCCGAGGGTTTCATTGGTATCAGGGGGGTCAATAAATACAGAATCAACGTTTACTATTTTTTATTTAAACACCGTTTGCAAACGGAGAGATTAGGGAGCCCAAAATATACTGCAACCCTCTCTCCTCGTTACCCGAGTCGAATAATTGGACCTGACAAATTCTACTTAGGTCTCTCCGTTCAGAACTGGATAGGTCTTGGAAAGCCTCTTCCCAAGTGCTTCCGAGACCTTTCTACCTCTGGTTATGTCCCATTTCAGCACTTGTTAGGTGTAAGCAGCACTTGCATTCAGACTTTCCAAATCCTTGCCGGTCCCCGTAATTCTATGGGCCTATATTAAATCTGCGTTCATATCCCTATTTACTCATGCGTTATTGAAATAAAAAATGCAATTATTGTTTTTTTTTTAATCTCGAAAATCGACATTTCACGGGAGGGTGGAGGGGAGATGCATGTATGCGGAGGCTTGACATTTTTATCCAACAAGCGGAGAAGGTTGCAGAATCTATTCTAGCCACTCTTGCCCCTCCGCTTGCATGCATTGTCCAAATAAAAAAAGAAAGTGTTAACAAATCTGACCCTTGTTCCAAGTAAAAACCGAAAATCTGACCCTGTGGCCGCCGGTGAAATGTTTTTTTTCAGTTTTCACTTTTTCCACATACTTTTGAGAGTTCTGA